CTTGGGTCTGGAGTTCATTAATCTTGTAATGTCTGAAAACACAAGCAGACAGCCTTAGTATGTGAACCCCTGAGCTCTCAATTCCTCATGCCAGTTTATGTGGCTCATTAGTGCAAGATCACACTTCATGTTTCTTACCTGTCAGTTAAGAGTGGACATCACCGTGAGTATACACATTACATCTTTAGGCAGTGTATCCTGTACTTCTAGGTGATGTGTGCTCTGTGGTTTCTTTTTGAGGGGGCATCACCTTCTTTCTTTTCTGACCTCACTCTCTCTCTCCCTGTGTACCTGTCCTGCTTTCTGCTATGGCTCATGGTGTCGCTGGTCAGGTTCTGTCTTTTCTTTCTATAAGTTAATCTCCAAAGGCTAGAAATCATGAGCAAGGTCTTTTTTCCACTCCCTTTTTATACCATCAGTCTTGTCCTCCTAGTCCATGACTTGGCCATTGTATTGTATTAGTCCATCTCTGTTGCTTATAACAAAATACCTTGGACTGGGGTACTTTATAAGAAAATGAAATTTATTTCTTACAGTTTCAGAGGCAGGGAAAGAACCATGCCCCTGACCACCAATATTAATCCATTCACTGTGGCACAGTCCTACAATCTAATCACCTCTTCAAGGCCCCACCTTTCAAATACCATAATAGGATTTCCCACCCTTAACAGCTACCATGGGGATTAAGTTTTTGGGGGACATTTAACCCAAGGCAGCCATATATCTAAAACTAGCATTTTGAAATAGCATCTGAAAATAAGCATTTTTGATAAAATGCATAACTTATAAACATGTTAATTTAAGTCCTTATATGCCATTTTCAAAGAAAACAGGTCTCCCGTTGACCTTGCTTTGTATAGGAGATTTATTGTCTAATCTGGAAATGTGGCCAGCTGGGACACAGTTCATTTTCTCCCCTTTGGAGCTGTTCCTTTTGCAGGGAAAAGGCCCCCAGACGCCACAGCACTGCAGTGGGGCCCTCTCTGTCTAGCTCTCATGGCCATCCTGACTGCCAAGGGTGAGACAGGAATTGGAACAGCTGTTTAAGAGCCCAGGGATGCCCATTGGTATAGCCGTGTGCATTGCAGACTGGAATAAAAGTTGGGAAGTCTTTAAGAATTTGAAAAACTCCTGGAAAGAATCAGAATTTCAAATATGAACAGCTTCACCTGGTCAGGAAAGTTATGCTAAAATTAAACCTGATTCTCAAATAAATGGTTTGGTTTGGGGTGTCTTCCCACCATCATCATCCTGAGTTAGCTGGGGAGAGTTAACACTGATTTTTAATTTATTTTGCATTCTGATGTTGTAATAACTTGCCAGATTGAATGCACATGTGCGCTGTCCCCACAGAAAGCCAGCTCGTGGGCAGAGGATGGATCCCATTAACCCTGCACCATATTTGCCTCAGGCAAAGTGGTCCCCAGGGCTGGGGGACCAAGGCTGGCCAGCGATGTTCTGTCAGGTGCTCAAGGAATCCCAGAAGTGTACAAGACGGTGTGTAACTTTCTCTTTTCTTCATGTCATAGATTGCTGGCTTGAGTTTTAATTATATCACATGAAAATGCAGTTTGTTGGGAGCTTTAATTGTCTTCCATTGGGGGCCTTACTGGGCTGGTTTATTTTCATCCTGCTCCTCCCTGGATGTGGAAAAAGAGTTGAGGGACATTTCAATACCTGTCTGCTTACTCCTTGCTGTGTGGCCTTAATCAGCACGTTTCTGACACAAAACTTGGGACACAGGATCCTGATGTCTTTGGACAAAGTTTTTTTTTTTCTTCTGTTTGTTAATTTAATTAAACTAAAGGGTTTATGAAGGTATACAAATTAAACTGCATTGAACTCTATTTGAATGAGTTAACTTTATCTGGAAAGAACCAGTGTTCATAAACTGGGGACCCTTTCAACCTTGGAAATCTCATTGGCATGACTCGAATTCCTGGGCCAGGAGCTTTGAGTTAGTCATGGATCATGATGCTGATGGCAGCTGTGTGCCCTCTGGAAAGAACCAGTGTTCATAAACTGGGGACCCTTTCAACCTTGGAAATCTCATTGGCATAACTCGAATTCCTGGGCCAGGAGCTTTGAGTTAGTCATGGATCATGATGCTGATGGCAGCTGTGTGCCCTGAGCACTTACCCGAGTCAGGGGTCATTTACACAGATTAATTCATCTAACCTAGTAACAAACCTGAGAATTGGATTCTCTCATACCCTCATCTTAGAGATGAGGACACTGAGGCCCAACAGTTAGGTTCCTTCCCCAGGCCGGCAAGTGACTGAGCCAGGGTGTGACCCCAGCCAGTCTGGCTCAAGTGTTCATCCTCATGACCCCTGCACTGCTGCTGCCTTACTGCAGTTAGTGTTTCTCAGGTGGTCTCTGGAACCTCTGGGTTTTGGGAGGCAACAGGCTGTGTGACTGGTGCTTGACTCCCACAGTCTTCAGTAGAGTTCTGGCTCAGCTCCAAGTTGTAGGTGTGAAATGTGGTGGACTCTGCAGAGTCATCTGCAGGGTCCCATGGGAGGAGTGTGCAGAGTGATTTCTACCCAGTGGAGCCAGAACTCCAAGAGGCTGGCCCCAGAGGCTGAGTCCTATCGTCCTTTCCTGAGCAGTGCCTCTACCCCTCTCCCACCCCACTGCTCATCCTGGGCATTGTCTAGGCCATAGGTCATTCTGGACAATGCAGGTGGTCCCACTGTGAGACCTGTCTGATATATGGACCTTGGGTTGCAGTGAGAAAAAGCTTTTCCCAAACAGCTATCCAGCTTAGTTGAAATCTATTCCCCCTTGGGCTGGCCTGTGGCTCACTTGGGAGAGTGTGGTGCTGACAATACCAAGTCAAGGGTTAAGATTCCCTTACCAGTCATCTTTATTAAAAAAAAAAAAAAAGAAATCTATTCCCTCCACCCCAAATTTATTACATGACCGTTCTTGGCTATACTTACCTCCAGGCCTACCTGTGCTTTCTATCAATTGCTGTAATTTTCTGGTAAGGTTATATCAACAAACTGGCAGTCATTCCTGCCACCCAGTAGCTATCCCTTCTGCCCCTGGGAAACCCTCTTACATCCCCATTTTTCAGAGACTGGACCCTGTGAAGGACCCCCGGCAGCACCTGTAGAAACCTGGAATGGCACAGGCACTGGTGCCTGCTCTAAACCTTTATTTTGTACTTCCTGGGTGCCAGACAAAGGATCCTTGGATCCTGCATCTCCTTGGGACTCGGCATGGCCTATAGGCTGGAACACCTGGCTGAACTTCCTGTTGGGGGCAGGATATGGTGCCAGTAATACCTGGGTGAAGAGCTTGGCACTTTAGATGCCACTTTAATTCCCAGTTCATCCAGTGTAGGTTTGGTGCAATGTAGGGTGAGGGAAGTGCACACAGTAGCCTAGAATTTTTCAGAAGTGGTCTAAGTGGCAGTTCATGGGAAACTAAAAAATATTGTTAATTTTTTTATAGTGATCAGGAATTTAGGTGTATTTGGAAAGCCTGATGAAAAATTAAATACTGAACTAGTTAACAGTTCAAGTTGGAGCAGAACCCTTTTATTTATTTACTTTATTATTATTATTATTTTTTGGCAGCTAGCCAGTATGGGGATCTGAATCCTTGACCTTGGTGTTATAATGGAGCAGAGCCCATTATAGGGGCAGGTTAACTTAGATCAGGACAGCCACACTGACCATGTACTCCAGGATCAAAGCAACTTAGTATGTTGGTGGATGCTGTTGGGAGTCTGCAGTGTTCCTGGCTTCACTCTGGCATCCACAGAGTTGCTGTCATCTTGGGAAAGGGCACGGAAATGTTTTTTTAAATATGTGGGGTTGAGGAAATGGTACATTTAGTAGGTGGTTGAGGGTTTTATATAGTTCTTCCCAAGTTGAGGAATAAAGTTTCAGGCTGGTTCACCAGAACTCTGTTCTTGGTTGCCAGCCTCTTCCTTCCTGAGAAGGATTACTGTGCTCATAACACGACAGTCCTGGAGGTAGACGGGAGGGGGACCTCTTGTCCAATAGACTCTGGCTCACTTGTCCAGTGGCCTTATGGGGCATTTCTTTCAAAGCAGTGAACATGATGTTGCTCCTCACTAGCTCATCGTTGATTTTCCTATAACTCTGTGTGTCTCCTCTCAGCTGTTGCTTTAGGCACAGGGGCATGGGTGAGTGACAAGGAATGGGGGAGACTCAGGGGAAATAGGGAAATAAAGGCCCATTGTGGAAAAAAACAGATGCGTTTCCTAAGAATTGACTGCACACTGTTGCACAAACATTCGTGTGGCCTCCTGATTTCGTCTGGCCGACGGAGGCTCACTGGGGAATGCTAAGCAGGAACATGCCACATGCCCGGCAGTGCAACATGCTTATCAGTCTGAGTCTGTACAGGCGCTTGGCACAGGGTAGCTCTGTCCTGCACTGAATTCCCTTTGGGTGTCTGTAAGACCTGTGGTCAGAAGTTCGTCTGTGGCCATTGCGGATGCCTTCCAGGGGCTGCCCCACTCAGAAATATCCATCCCCCAAGCGTCTGCTCGGAGGAGTATAAGAATTGGTATGATTTCCTTTTTCTTTTTCTTTTTTAAAAAATGTTCCTAGTTTCACAAATACTCAGGGACTGGAAATGATAATAGGCATTACTTAAGTTCCCCAAAACAGGTTTCCAAAGGAGAAACAGGTGGGCACTGATATGTTACCTCCTCCTGTAACACTCCTTGGGTAACTGAGTCCTAAGCTGAATGACAATCTCAGCTTGTTTTCTGAAGGTCGTCATGAGGCCTGTGGCTTTGCTGTCTGCTCATGTTAGTGCAGAGTGGGAGAAAACATGTTCCATGATGCTGAACTGCCAGCATAAAGTGCAAGGCCTGGAAAGGTATTTGCCAGCTCTCAGAGCTAAAGTCTGCAGAAGAGAGATGTGGGATTTGTATCAGACTAGCGGGGGAGCTTTGGCAAGTCCCCCAAGTTCTTCTACTTTGTTACTGGTTTATTTGGTTTTGGTTCTTCTAGGAAGAGTCTGCTGAAGGTGAGGGCCATGGACTTTATCACCTCTACAGCCATCCTGCCACTGCTGTTTGGCTGCGTGGGCATCTTCAGCCTCTTCCGGCTGCTGCAGTGGATGCGCATGAAGACCTATCTGAGGAATGTGGTGGTGGTGATTACAGGCGCCACCTCAGGCCTGGGGAAAGGTGGGTCTTGGCAGCAGTGCTGTCGGGGATGGGGTAAGCCAGCCAGGGATGAGGGCTCGGCTGCACAGGGACCCCTAGCACAGGTGCCTGACGTGGCAGCAGGAGATGCAAACAAGAGAAGCAGGCCAGATGTCACTGTCCTTGGTCCATATGGAAAAAGCAGGAGCTTAAGTGCAATGAGAAATGGCCCCTGACTGTCAGCGTCAGCATGGGGAGGCAAAAGCAAGTGACGAAGACTGTGGCAAACTGGAGGCTGTGTGCCCCCTCGAAGAGGCAGCCATACACAGCAGCAGCTGCTTGTGAAGTAGGGGATTTATGTGAAATCCCAAGTTTCAAGTGTTTTTACCTCCATGAGGGCCAAGTGAAACAGGCCTTTTCGTGGATTCTGCTGGTACCCCTGGTTCATGGCCTGGCACGCACCTTCCCCATACCTTCTCCTTCCTGGGGCTGGGCCTTGGCAGGGTTAGAGACAAGATAAGTTATGACTCAGCTGTTTCTCAATCAGGTTCTCCAACTGAGTTCCATTCAAGTTCAAGTAAACACCTTGAGCTTCTAAGTCCCAGGAATTATATGCTAGAGTCAGTCAAAACCCCCAACCCCCATTCCTTTCCTGGAAGCCCGTATAGACAAGTGGCAGAACTCCATCATTTTCCCTCCACACAAGTATATTGACTTTGGCAGCCTGGCTGATGGGCAAATGCAGGCCTGTCTCGTGGAACCCCCTGCCCTCTATCCTCTACATCTGCACATGCACACAGCATGCCAGCCACACCTGAGTGCAGTTCCATGGAGGAAGACTGGAAGTCCTTGTGGTAAACCCACCCGCTGCTGCACCTTTTGGTTGGTGATAGTACAGCACTGACTGGGCATCTGCTAGGTTCAAGGCTCTCGGCTAAGTGCTAGGACAAACAGATGAAAAACAGGGTCCCTTCCTTCAAGGAGTTCACAGTCTCCTGGAGAAAGGCAAGGATTTTATCTCAGTATATTGTCATTTCAGTAATGGATGTTCCCAGTTAGGCCTGGTTGGGGGGAAGGCACATTTATATGTCCTGGCTTGTGCTAAGCATTTTTGCATGCATTATATCACTGAACTCTCACAGCTAAGATTCAGAGAAGGTGTGATTTGTCCTAGGACTTCCAGCCAGAAAACTTAAAGCCAAGATTCAAACCCCCGTCTCTCTGCCTCCAGAACTCACAGTCTTAAGCTTCACAGGGGTTGGGGGAAGCGGGGGATGGTCAGGATGGCCATGTAAAAGGAAGGTGTGGGCCAGTAGGAGGGCATTCCAGATGGGGCCTAGAGGTGTAAGCAGCATGGTCATGCTGGGGGTTGTAAGCAGTTGGGTGCTGCACGAACACAAAGGAGCAGACGGGGCCTTGTCTGTTGGGTAAGTGTCTTGCTGTCAGCCAGGGGAGCCTGGGAAGGCTTTAGGAAGTGTGGATTCATTTGTATGCCACTATACATGTGAGTTGATGTCCCTGGAGGTGACACCACATCTGTCATTGGATATCCAGACCTTTGAAGGGACAGCTGCCTCCAGGCCGTTTGCCACTGGTCAGTCCTCTGGCCTTACTTGGCTACTATAAATACGGTAATCAGCAGCGGGAGGTGACACCACATCTGTCATTGGATATCCAGACCTTTGAAGGGACAGCTGCCTCCAGGCTGTTTGCCACTGGTCAGTCCTCTGGCCTTACTTGGCTACTATAAATACGGTAATCAGCAGCGACTTCTCTTGATCTCAGAGAGAAGCATTTTAAAAAAGTCCTTGAAGAGTATTTGAGAGCCAGCTCAGGTGGGACAGTGAATTGCAGGTGCCCCAATATGTGGATGATCGAGAAGGACATTGTCCTCTTTGTCATTTCTCGTATCCTCTCCTGACACCAACACTGTAAAGGGGAGAGAAAATGTAATCAAGAAAAACAAACCTCAGCAGTACAGCCCCACCCCCACCTTCATTCCTGGGAGGGCTTTGCCACTCTGCTGAGAAGGCCGGCAGGGATGTGCAGCTGTTAAGACTCCACATATACTAACTCATTTAAGTCCAGGGTGCGGAGAAACTGGCTGCAGCTCTCTTTGGGGTTTCTGCCCTTTGCTGGAATGAGCCAGTGAACAAACCAACAAAACCTCCTTCAAAGAAGATGGTGCAGCACATCTGAGAATGTATTGATTTAGTCTACTTATCTTGTCTTTCCAGAAAACTCTTATCTGAGCGTGTACAGCAAGGTGCTGGCCTGGGCATGTCACATGAAAGCTGTAGGAGGAGCTAAAGGAGAAGCTGTAGAGGTTTTGCACCATGACACAGACATTGAAGAACCTTTTCTCTTTGACCTCTCAGGACCTGTCAGAAGGCAAAATTACAACAAATTTAGTTAAAGATCTCAATTGGCTTTATTGCGATTCTAGAATTGGGCAACACGTCATTCCACAGAATAAGTGTTCCAGTGAGCCAGGCAGAGGAGGCTGAAGAACCAGAAACAAAGAACAGAAAGCGGATTGGTCATTTCAAAGTTACTTTTCTTATAAGGTGGGGGTAGGGAGACAGAACAATGGAAAAATAACTGATTATTTATTTAACTTCAGGTTACTTCAGGCTGTCCTTTTTGTGTAAGGATTAAAGCACAGGGAACTTCATTATCACGCCCATTGAAGATTTAAACTGGCCTATTTGGGAAATTGTGTGTTATACCTCTCTCTACAGATTTCTGGGAAGGTCAGACCACAGCTTAGTTTAGGTTTGGTGACAGGGAACTTAGCAGGAATGACTCCATTTTGATTTTTAGTGTGGTCTTTTGGGACCTAGTGCAGGAACTTAGTTCAAAATGATGGCCTCTGATAATTTTTATTTAAGAACCCTGAGTTCTGAAGGACACTGGCATTTCTTCTCCCCTCCTGTTTTGAATCCTTTTAAAAGCTTTAAAGAAGTTTGACACTTCCATGAGGGAAGGGCCATTCAGACGAGTATTACAATGCCCGAACCCTCTGACCTTCTCCCCTCCCAGCCCTGATCCCTCATCCCCTCCCAGCGTGGCTCCCACAGATAAAATGGCCCTATAAGGGCAGGCCTGTCCCTTCCATGAGCCAGGGGGTGACCAGGATGCCACTTGTTCACCTGGGCCTCTAAGATCAATATGGAACCATGTGAGTGGCTCAGTGCCTATATTGTGGTCAGCCAGGGTCCCTGAGGTGTCCTGTGCAGATCTGGTCTTGAGGGAGACTAGATCTCAGGTGAGTACAGGCAGGGTCTCTGTAAGCCCACCCCATTTCCATTTTCACAGTCAGTCAGTTTTTAGAACATTTTTAAAAGGCAGATTAGAAATACAAAAACAAAACAAACTTCTGTAGTGCTTTTTATCTACCACTATAATAAGTGATTACCTACTTTACCTCATTTAATGCCAGTCACCCCTGAATTAGGCATTATTTTTATCTGCATCTTAAAGAAGAGGAAAGTGAGAAACAAAGGTTATAACTTACTCAAGATTACAGAACCAGTGAGTTTGGGAGACAGAGTTGCCCACAGTAAGTCCAGCTCCAGTCCATGCTCTTGACCACTGGGCTGTATTCTTCTAAAAAGCTGTGAGTTTTCAGAGCAGTGGACATTTAGGTAGGACAGGTTTGGGGGGAGGTTAAGCAAAAAGCAAGAGACATCGCTCTCTGCCCCCCTCTCTGTCTTCCCAGAGATAAACAAGCCCCTCCTTCCCTCCTCCCCAACCCAGTTCTGAGGGTTTCACCTCCTGCCTCCAGGTGGCATTTTTTTCTGCCCCTTTCACACTTTGTCCTATTAACAGACCCCTCCCCATTAGCCACAGGAGATTTACATGTGACTCTTGCTGGGCTAATCCTAGTGATGTCGCCCCCACCCAAGTCCTTCCCTGTGATTTGGACATCAGAGGTAAGAGGAGACTGTCCTGTGTGGCAGGGGAGTTGTGTTGATATGAGCTTAGAACTGTCTACAGTCCCATCTCATGGAGAAGCCGGCCCAAGGGAATGATGCAGAGAAAGGCCCTGCAGCATCTGAGAGGGTTCCCTGCCTGATTAATCTTGCCAAGCTTCCTCAGCCGAGAAAACAGGAAGACGTTCAGGGCTAAATAGGAGTGCTATGGAAAGTTCTGAGCATAGTACTTAGCAAATCTGTCTGCAGCTCCTGCTATCCTCCTGCCTGTGGATGTCTGTCATGCCACTGGAGGTGAGCTCTGCACTGGGCCCTAACTTCTAGCTCCAAGCTGGTCCACAGCAGGAGCCAACACACATGTGTCAAGTGCACGAAGAAACAAACACGTACGTTGCAACACTGGGTGAATTTGAACTGAATTGTGTTGGAGAAAAATGGCATTGGATTTCCTCAGCTGTCAAAGTTCTTGTCTCTTCCTTTAGAATGTGCAAAAGTTTTCTACTCTGCGGGCTCTAAGCTGGTGCTCTGTGGCCGGAATGCGGAAGCCCTAGAAGAGCTCACCAGAGAACTCACTACTTCTCGTGCCACCAAGGTGAGCCCTGGGGTGTGGTTTCCTTGGGGAAGGGGTACAGTCCATCTTCAGTAGGCACCTGAGGAGATAGCGGCCCACTCCTGGGCTGCTGGGCTACAGGACATCCACGTGGTCACACTGTCCCAGAGAAGGCAGCAGGTGTTTACAGCAAGTTGCGCCTGTGGCCTGAGGAGGGAGAATTGTCCCACAGTTTGCATCCTTACGCCACCCCTGACTAGCACTCAAGTTGAGGAAGTTTCCTCTGGAGAGTGCTCTCCCCCTTCCTTTACCTGGCTAAGCTCCACTCATCTCTTGGTGGTGGGGTTGGTGATGAGTTTAAAAATTTTAATTGTAAAATATACGTAATATTTATAATTTTAACTGTTTGTAAGTGTACAGTTCAGTGGCGTTAGATACATTCACAATGTATGTGACTATTACCACTATGTATATATACCCAAAGCTTTTTCAACATCCCTAACAAAAATTCTGTTAAAAAAAATCTCCATTAAGAAATATCTTCCCCGTTCTCCCTTCTCCCAGCCCCTGGCAACCATCATTCTACTTTCTGTTTCTATGAATTTGACTACTGTAGGTACCCCATATAAGCGGAATCATGCAGTATTTGTTTTTCTGTGTATAGTAGTCAGTTTTCTGTTGCTTATAACAGAAAGCCTGAAACTGTGTAATTTATAAAGAAACAAAGTTTATTTCTTATAGTTCCGGAGGTTGGGAAGTTCATGGTCAGGGGGCACATCTGGTGAGGGCCTTCTTCTGGTTGAGAACTCTCTGCAGGGCCCCATGGCAACACAGGCTATCACGTAGCGAGTATGGAATGAGCAAGAGAGCTAACTTGCTCACTTGCTCTCCTTCTAAAGCCTTCAGAACCACTCTCTGATAACCCATTAAAGCATCAGTCTGTTATTCCATGAATGGATACGTCCATTCACAAGGGCATTGTCCTCACGATCCAACCACCTCTTAAAGACCCCACCTATCACCTTATTGGGGGTTAAGTTCCAAAATGAGCTTGGAGGAGCATTCAGAACACAGCACTGTGTCTGGCTTATTTCACTTAGCTTAATGTCCTCAATGTTCATCCATGCTATAGCATGTATCAGAATTTTCTTCCCTTTTAAGGCTGAATAATATTCCATTGTATGCATATACTACATTTTGTTGATCTGTTTATCTGTCGATGGACACTAGGGTTGTCCACCTTTTGGCTATCATGAATAATGCTGCTGTGAACACTGGTGTACAAGTATCTATTCAGGTCCCTGCTTTCAGTTCTTTTGGATACATACCTATGATACAGTAGTTCTGTTTAACATTTTGAGAAACCAACAAACTCTTTTTCACTGCAGCTCTGCCATTTTGCATTTTGTTCTGGTTTCTCCACTTCCTCCCCAACACTTGTTATTTTCTGGGGTTTTTTTTCCTAATTATACCCATCCTAGGAGGTATGAAGTGATAATATCTCATTGTAGTTTTGATTTGCATTTCCCTAATCACAAATGATGTTGAGCATCTTTTAATGTGCTTATTGGCCATTTATATATCTTTGGAGAAATATCCTCTGCCTGTTTTTTAATCAGGTTGTCTTTTGTTGTTGAGATTAGGAGTTCTTTATGTATTCTGGATATTAATCCCTTATGAGATATACGATTTGCAGTTGTATCTCCTATTCAACAGATTGTCTTGTCACTTTCTTGATATTATCCTTTGATACACAAGTCTTTAATTTTGATGAAGTCCAATTTATTTTCTTTTGTTTACCTGTGTTTTTGGTGTCATATCCATAAGGTTGTTGCCAAATCCAATGTCACGAAGATTTTCCCAAGTGTTTTCTGTGAGTTTTATATTTTTAACTCTTTGATGTTCTTTGATCCATTTGAGTTCATTTTTATGCAGGTATACTCTCGGAGACACTGTGGGTTTGGTTCCAGACCACCACAATAAAGTGAATATTGCAATAAAACCAATCACATGAATTTTTTGGTTTCCCAATGCATATAAAAGTTATGTTTACACTGTAGTGTAGTCTATTAAGTGTGCATACATTATGTCTAAAATAACAATGTATGTACCTTAATTTATAAACATTTTATTCCTAAAAAATGCTAATGATCATCTGAGCCTTCAGCGAGTTATAATCTTTTTGCTGGTAGAGGGTCTTGCCTCGAAGTTGATGGCTGCTGACTGATCAGAGTGGTGGTTGCTTATGGCTGGGGTGGCTGTGGCAATTTCTTAAAATAAGACAACAATGAAGTTTGACACACTGATTGACTCTTCCTTTCATGAAAGATTTTTCTGTAGCATGTGATGCTGTTTGATAGCATTTTACCCATGGTAGAACTTCTTTCCAAGTTGAAGTCAGTCTTCTCAAACCCTGCTTAGTTTATCAACTAAGTTTATTTAACATTCTAAATCCTTTGTTGTCATTTGAGCAATGTTCACAGCGTTTTCACCAGGAGTAGATTCCATCTTAAGAAACCACTTTCTTTGCTCATCTGTAAGAAGCAACTCCTCATCCATTGAAGTTTTATCATGAAATTGTGGCAGTTCATTCACATCTTCAGCCTCTGCTTCTAATTCTGGTTCTTTGCTATTTCTACCACATCTGCAGTTACCGCCTCCACTGAAGTCCTGAACCCCTCAAAGTCATCCATGAAGGTTGGAATCAACTTTTTCCAAACTGCTGTTAATGTTGATATTTTGACTTCTTGCCATGAATCATGAATGTTCTTAATGGCATCTAGAATGGTGAATTCTGTCCAGAAGGTTTTTCCATTTACTTTGCCCAAATCTATCAAAGGAATCACTGTCTATGGCAGCTATAGCCTTATGAAATGTATTTCTTAAATAATAAGACTTGGAAGTTGAAATTACTCCTTAATTCATGGGCTGCAGAAAGGATATTGTCTTAGCAGGCATGAAAACATTAATCTCCTTGTACATCTCCATCAGAGCTCTTGGGTGACTAGGTGCACTGTCAGTGTGCAGTAATATTTTGAAAGGAATCTTTTTTTCTGAGCAGTAGGTCTCAATAGTATTATTGAATAGTTAAAGTATTCAGTAAACCATACTGTAAACAGATGTGCTGTCAATCCAGGCTTTGTTGTTCCATTTACAGAGCACAGGCAGAGTAGATTTAACATCGTTCTTGAGAACCCTAGGATTTTCAGAATTTGTAAATGAGCATTGGCTTCAGCGTAAAGTCACCAGCTGCATTAGCCCTTAACAAGAGAGTCAGCCTGTCCTGTGAAGCTTTGAAGCCAGGCACTGATTTCTCCTCTCTAGCTACATGTTCTTCCAGTATAAGGCTGTTTTGTCTACGTTGAAAATCTGTTGTTCAGTGTAGCCATCTTCATCAGTGATCTTAGCCATATCTTCTGGATCACTTGCTGCAGCTTCTACATCAGCACAGCACTTGCTGCTTCACCTGGCACTTACTTTTATGCTTTGGGTCTAGCTTCTTTCCTTAAACCTCATGAACCAACCTCTGCTAGCTTCAAACTTTTCTTCTGCAGCTTTCTTATCTCTTAGCTGAAGAATTGAAGAGAGTCAGGTCCTCGCTCTGAATTAGGCTTTGGCTTAAGGAAATGCTGTGGCCAGTTTGATCTTTTATCCAGACCACTAAAACTTTCTCTGTGTCAGCATTAAGGCTGTTTTGCTTTCTTATCATTCTGTGTGTTTACTGGAATAGCACTTTTAATTTCCTTTAAGACCTTTTCCTTTGCATTCTTAATTTGTTACTCACAATACGGGCACAAGAGGCCTAGATTTCAGCCTTGGCGTTCTATATGCCTTCCTCACTAAGCTTCCTAGCTTCTTTAGAGGCCATTGTAGTTTTATTAATTGGCCTAATTTCAATATTGTTCTGTCTCAGGGAATAGGGAGGCCCAAAGAGAGGGAGAGAGAGGGAGAGAGTTGGCAGTTGGTGGAGCAGTCAGAATATACACAACATTTATGAATTAAGTTTGCCATTTTATATGTTCATGGCACCCCAAAATAATTACCATAGTAACATCAAAGATCACCATAACAGATACAATAACAGTTAAAAAGTTTGAAATATTGTGAAAATTACCAAAATTGACACAGAGACACAAAGTGAGCACACGCTGTTGGAAAAATGGCACTGATAGACTTGGTTGATATAAGTTGCCACAAACGTTCAATTTGTAAAAACGTAATATTTGTAAAATATAATAACGCAAAGTGCAATAAAACAAGGTATGCTTGTCTGTGGTATTAGATAGGGGTCCAACTTCACTCTTTTGCATGTGGATATCCAGTTTTCCCAGCACTATTTGTTGAAGACTGTCCTTTCCTCACTGACTGGACTTGGCACCCTTCTCAAAAATCAGTTGATCATATATGTGAGGGTATATTTCTTTATTCTGTTTCATTGGTCTATATGTCTGTGCCATGTCAGACCATACTGTTTTAGCTACTGTAGCTTTGTACAAGTTTCAAAATCAAGAAGTATGAGTCCTCCAACTATGTTATTTTTCAGATTGTTTTAGCTGTTCAGTGCCCATTGCAATCCTATATGACTTTTAGGATTTTTTTTTTTTTTTT